GGATGGATGGATGGATGGATGGATGGATGGATGGATGGATGGATGGATAGATAGATAAGCTATAGTGATAGATATAGATAAACATAGATATACATAGAGATAGATAAGATATAGAATGCTATATATATAGATAGATAGAGAGAGAGAGAGAGAGAGAGATAGGATAGAGATAGATAAATAGAGATAGATAAGATATAGTGATAGATAGATAGATAAGAGTGCTATAGATATAAATACATAGATAAGATAGTGATATAGATAAATATAGATAAATACATAGATAGATAAATAGATAAGATAGAGTGATAGAGATTGATAGATAAGATATAGAGTGATAGATATAGATAGATAAGATAGTGATAGATATAGATAAATATAGATAAATACATATAGATAAATAGATAAGAGTGATAGAGATTGATAGATAAGATAGAATGATAGATATAAATACATAGAGATAGATAGATGGATAGATAGATAAGAGACAGATAGAAAATGTCTTCAGGCAATGCTCTTTCTCTCTCTCTCTTTATACATACATTCAGAGAGAGAGAGATGGTGATAGATAAGAGAGAGATGAGAGAGACATTTATAAAGCCGTTTCAAAAGCGCCAGATCCCCCTTCCGCGCAGTCCCACCTCTGGCGCTTGCGGGGGAGGCTGTTGTTCTTGATCAGGAGGGACTTGATGTGCTCGATGAGGTGGTTCTCGTGCTTGAGGCACCAGTGCCGGAGGATGCTGGTGGTGAACTGGTCGTCCGGGTGACACGGCCGGCTCAGCACCATTTTCACCATCTCTTCCGTCGGCCTGCGGCAAAGCACAGCTTCAGACCTCCCCCCCAAGGACACAACTAAAGGGGGGGGGGAGGAGAAACCTTGACCATTTGGACTTCAACTCCCAGAATCCCCCCTCCCAGCCAACCTGGAGGATTCTGGGAGTTGGAAGTCCAAGAATTCGAAATACGTACTTTTCCCTCCGCAGTTGCAAAAGGAGGCAGGAAAGAGCCTCGGGATGTTCTGTAAAAAAGAGAAAAAGCAGGGTTTTTTTTATTTAGAAAAGAAGCGAATTTGAAAAAAATAATAAGAGAGGAAGGGGAAGTAAAGAAAAGAAGGATGACGGAGGGAAGAAAGGAGGGAGAAGAAAGTGATGGATAAGATACAAATATGGTGTAGGGAGAGAGAATAATTGTTTTTTTGGGGAGTTGATGGCAAGACGAATTGATGTAAACATTTAATATAATATAATACGATACAATACGGCTATGTAATAGGATACGTGTGGTTGTATGCTATGAAAATGGAGGGGAACTTTATATATTAAAAAAATAAAAATAATCCAAGCACAACCCCTAATCTAGGCCAAGTCAGAGCTGCGAAAATATTTTATTTTATTTTTATAAGTCACGTTTTTATTTATTTATATGTGGATTTCGAATACAGGGCATCCCATTTTACAGGAGGGAGGGGGGGAAGTAACATCTATACGGATAGTAGTAATGATAAAAAAAATAAACAGAATGATTCTAACCACATTTATAATTACGTCGGTTTATTTACGATCCTATTAATTATATAAGCATATAGTTATAAACAACCACGGCTGTGTATCTCTCTCCGTGCGCCTCTATCTGCCTGTCCTAATTCCCCAAAAATGAATTCATAATTCATTCCAGGCAGGTCCGTCGCAACTCCGAACAATCGTTAAGCGACCCCCCCACCCCACCCCGTCGTAAGTCGAGACCTCCTTGCATTTCTCTCCAGGGAGAGCTTTCGAAAAACCAACATGAAACTTTGTATAGGTTGAGGATCTCGCTGCTTCCCCCCCTCCCCCCTTTTTGCTGGGCCGGAGATGGGCATCACCGCTTAAGGGAGCTCACCTTTGTACTTGAGGTGCTGAAGGATGGGGATGATGGTTTCCAGGGGAATGTTGTGTGCCAGGAAAAGCTGCCAGGTGCAATATTGCTCAAAGGTCTCCCACTCCAAGCTCTGAACTGGAGGGGTGGGGGTGGAGGGGGAGACGACAAAAAAATAAATAAGCTGAAAGGAAGCCAAGTTGATAAAAGACACAATTCAACACAAAACACCACAATAACACACACACAAACACACACACGCCTGCTGACCCGGAAGGCAAGCATAATTAAGACAAAAGGGGCGGGAGTAAGGCTTGGAGATGATTGGCCCCTCCCGTAAGACGCAAAAGAGGAGCGAACGGGACGTGAGCCGTTGTGGGAAGCAATTTAGTTCATGTAGTCGGTTCAAACTCTTGAGACTTTCTGTTTGACTCTGTGCTAACCTTGCAAAAGCAACTGGCAATTCGGCGTCCGGCAGCGTTTCAAGGGAGATAAAAGGCGGGCGCTTATCAACATTCCCCTGAAAGACTGCGGCAACTCGAGCAAATGTCCATCCGACTCTTCACAGATTATATGCGTACCATTTACCAGCTGCGAGTGTCCGTAATTCACAGCCGTTTAAATAAAAGAGGATTTTTGGTGGGGGGACTAAGATTGTGTGATTTATGCTTTTTAAGGATGCCTAGGTCAGAACGGGCCAAGGAGGGACCGCTGAGGATTCTGGGAGTTGAAGTCCAAATGGATGACCTCCTCCTCAGCATACCCTTCCTTGGCCGAGATCGCTCCCGCCGGCCACTTGGGGAAAAAAGCCAATGCCGTTCCGGATCCCTCCCCGATTCACTCACTCAGAATATTAAGGACCGAATCTTTCCGGAACATGACCAAATTCCCCATCATGACGTGACACACCAGTTCCTGGAGCTGTGAAAGAAACAGAAAGGGGGGAGGGGGGAATGCACCAGGGGTGACCAACGAAGCCAACCAAGAATGGGTTTTTCAGCCTGTGGTCTTCCTCCCTGCCAGGTTTGGGGTGAAGGGGTCTCCTCTTTGGGAGGGGGCTCTCTCTTCTCTTCCGGTGGTGGGTCGGTGGGTGGGTCTTACCTGCGCTGAGTCGATAACGGCGACAATCATGTTTAACAGCTCCCCGCTTCGGAGGGTCTCGTCGGGAAACTTAGGAGGGAAGAGAAGGGAGAATAAGAGCGGAGACCACCAAGGTCAGGGGGAGGAGGTGGGGTTGAAGCAGCTGAGAAGCCATGGGTCAGAAATAAACCTTCCCTTGTAGAAAATGTCTGTATTTGGGGAGGGGGGAGGGAGAAGGGACAGGGTGTGGTTCTTCCCTGATTTTGGAGACAAAAGGAGGTTTATTTTGTTAAGAGGAGGAGGAAGGAGGAGATAAAGGAAGAGGAGGAAGGCAAAAATGGAGCAGGGGGAAGAAGATGGCCAGGGAACGCAAAGTGAGGGAGGGAGAGAAGGATTAGAGGAGTGAGAAATTAGGGGGGATTAGGAGGAAAGGAACAAAGGGAGGGAGATTGGATTAGGGAGGAGAGGGAGGGAGGGAAGGAAGGAAGGATGGATGGAAAGAAGGTAGGATGGAAGGAAGGATTAGAGGAGCGAGCAATTAGGGGGGATTAGGAGGAAAGGAACAAAGGGAGGGAGATTGGATTAGGGAGGAGAGGGAGGGAAGGAAGGAAGGAAGGATGGATGGAAAGAAGGTAGGATGGAAGGAAGGATTAGAGGAGCGAGCAATTAGGGGGGATTAGGAGGAAAGGAACAGAGGGAGGGAGACTGGCTGAGGGAGGAGAGGGAGGGAAGGAAGGAAGGAAGGATTAGAGGAGCGAGCAATTAGGGGGGATTAGGAGGAAAGGAACAAAGGGAGGGAGATTGGATTAGGGAGGAGAGGGAGGGAAGGAAGGAAGGAAGGATTAGAGGAGCGAGCAATTAGGGGGGATTAGGAGGAAAGGAACAAAGGGAGGGAGATTGGATTAGGGA